CTGAACCATTGTTGATATTTACAAATGTTCAAAACATTTCCATAAACTTCTTTGATATTCTTTGTGGCTATAGAGGCATTGTTTCCCTTCTTGTATTCAAACAGCATAACATGCCGAATGTGTGTGTCTCATCACTACAAGGGATTATACTAAATTTTACACATTATATAGGCTACACTAACGTGACGTTTCGGTGGTTCGTTTAATTATTATATGTTATATATATTTGGGGGATGGTTAATGAAAGTGTTCCAAAACACGACATTAATTTCTTGATGACTTAATACAGATCTTGGGTAAGAAAACTATCTGGATAATGCGTATAATTATTCAATAAAATAAGGTACGTGGAGCATCAAAAGCATAGATAACAAAAAATTTATTTTTCTTCTTGCAAGCAAAAGTAAGAAAAAATGTATCTTGAAATGTAATAATATATCCAAATCCTACTTTGTACAATGTCTAGAAAAGCTCAGGAGAGATCTGTGATTAATGTGCACATAAATGATTGATGGCTCCTGTGGCATCAAAAGGTGGCAACAAGGAAGCTCAATAAGTGGATTTTGGTTACAGTCTGATGAAATAGTCTACTTGTTGCTTGAAGATTCCTCTTGTACCAATCGAGTTAAAAGGACTGCTTCTGAATGTAGATCTGCTAAACTTTTTGACCAATCAGAAAAACACAAATTTTGTATATAATTCTGTGTTTCTAACTCTAAAACAGCATTTCTCTGACTTCAGAATCTACAAGAAATTCCCGGCACAAACTCCTTGTAAGTATACTATTTCTGATCTAGTCTAACATTGTTTCACTTAAGGTTCAATAATGTATAAAGAGAGAAAAGAAAATTAACTAAACTAAAGAAATAGTAGATGCAAAAATGCTTAAAAATATCTTAGAAGAATTTTTAATACAGTTATAAGACCGACAGAATTATTCATTTTAACTGGTTACTACTGGTTATGCAGCTACTTCTGAATGTAAATCTGCCAAACTTCTTGAGCAATCAGAAAAACACTAAAAAATTGTGTATATAATTCTGTGTTTCTGACTCTAAATGGCACTTCTCTGACTTCAGACGGAAGATGGCAGTAATCCAGAATCCACAAGAAGTTCCTTGCACAAACTCCTTGTAAGAATGCTATTTCTGATCTAGTCTAAGTGTTTCACTTAAGGTTCAATAATGTATAAAGAGAGAAAAGTGATGATCATTAACTGTACTAAAAAAAATAGTAGACTTGAAAATGCTTAAAGTGGAATTACTTAAAGATATCTTAGAAAAATTGTTAATACCATTATACATGTTATGACCAAGAGAATTTCTCATGTTAACTTAACAGACAACTAATGTCATATCTATGTTATTGAATGTAATACATGGGCGTATTAATGAACATCTAGGCTTTCCAAATGAAGAAATCAATGATTTAGAGTTAATTTTACCACAAGAAAACTTTGAGAGTTTCAATATAAATGAACTGTTCAAATGTGTTTAAATAAAGAAATTATTTTGTATTCAGCTGTTTCTGTATGAGTTCTTTCTTCCACATGTAAACTTCCTCAAGTTGGTGGCTTGTGTGCTCTGCTTACAAAAGCATGACCCAATATCTAACTAAATTTCTTTGTAATGAGTGTAAGGTCGAACCCAATGACTAAGCCCACAAGCTCCCCACATGCCCGTTACAGTGAGATTATGGAGGATATGGATGTAAGCTTCTTAGATATCCACTTTTATTATCCAGTGTCTGTGTGAAAGATATTTTTGTAACATTCTCATATTTTCCATTTTAGAATGGGGGGGGGGATAGTGATTGAGATGAGAGAGATCAATCACACATTTTCAATTTCCTGACTACTTTGAAAAAAATAAAATTATAGGAGTACATGTGATGAAATATTAAACTGAAGAATCTAAGAAATCCAAGGAACCCACTAATGGGAGAATTGACCTTATATTATTCTAGATGGATGGGAACATCCAAAACTGAAGAGTTAAAGTAGAACACCCCACTTGCTTCTTCACTTGGCAACTCACTTGTGAAGAAAGGAATAAGTAGAAGCAGGAATGGAGAAGACTAAGAAGCAGAAAAAGTCAAGGAGAAGAGTACTGCCGGATATTTCAAAGGAAGATAATGACAAGAGAAAAAATGAGGCTAGATTATTAATAAGCTCTTGCTGAAGAGCCTCTCCTGAATGAGAAATAAATTTTGATTACATTTCTGCAAAAACAGAACAATGCATAGAGGAAACATTTTCTAGGTCTGCTGAAACATCGGGAGGGTGAGTCTTGTATTTTTAAATGGCATGGTGAGATACAATTCCAAAGGTACATAAAAGCCACATGGTATCCAATACTAAGTTAGTGAGAGCTGCAAAAATAAAAAATTGATTCTGATTAAAAAATCAAGTGAATAAGAGCAGTTGACAGCCAATAACTGCACTGAAGAAGAAAGCTCAAAATAAGAGATAGACAATTCATAGTATACAGAAAAGAAAACTGATGATCACACAAATGTGAAAAACTTTAACATCATGTTGATTTCTGAGGGCATCAGTAACAACTTGAATATCTGGAGAAAGCAGAAGATATAAGGTCTCATAAAACTGAATAATCCAACACAGTACTAGCACCTCAACTGTAACAGATACATCAGATAAAAAGAAATAAGACTAGCAGAAACTTCTTCAAGATCAGTAAAAACAGACAAATCACCCTCACTCAAACGTGAATAGGACTGGGTAAAAGAATGGGCTTTTACAGCAACATGAAAAAAAAAGGCAAATGTCTTGTAAATTGATCATCCACACAATCATGAAAACCATCTGTATTAACCAAAGTGTTATCATTAGAAATCATAAGCAAAGCAAACAAAGACCCGAAGTTTACAGCACATGACTACCAACAAGAAAAATTTAGTTTGTGGTAGGAAAGCATAACTTGCATATTTTTGCATAGAGCTTGCACAATAAGTCATGGGAAAAGTAGGAGAGTGGAGAACTTCAGGGAAAGTTGACATAAGGACATTTGGAATTAAAAAGTCAAGAGATTGTTTACAGAGTAAGAATAACTGTACTTGATTTGGAAAATATATTTTGAAAGCTAGAATAGAATCACTATCATGAATGAGGTTAATGGGGGAAAAAAACTTGATATGATTTCACTTTTAAAATAAAAATTTAAGTGGATCAACGCTATAGCCCACCAGTGGTGCAGCGGTATGTCTGGAGACTTACAACGCTAAAAACCGGGTTTCGATGCCCGTGGTGGGTAGAGCACAGATAGCTCATTGTGTAGCTTTGTGCTTAATTCCAAACAAACTCAACGCTATATGCAAAAAATTACTAAATTAGTATAAAACAGAATTTATCTCTGAAGAAGGATAAAAGATCTAAACATACCAAATGAACAACAGTGTAAGAGGAAGCAGTGATTTGAGTAAGACTAGTGTTACTAGAAACATAAGTCTGG